TACAGGCATTTTGTACTTGTATCCTAAAACATCAAATTACTTTATAACTGATTTTTAATTTATTAAAATCATATTTGTCCACAAACTGTCACTGCACAAAACAAATTTACACTAGCATAAAATTATTAATAAAATTTATAAAAAATAAAATTATTATTAAAACCGTTTAAAACTCTTAATATTAAATAAATAAATATTATATATCTATTACAAATTGTGTTTTTGAAGTTTCCATGTCGAAGATGTCATGGCAACTGCGGAATTATTGATTTTTCTACTAGGACGTGCTATGTGCCTTACCTAGTTTTGTTTTATTTATTCAATGACGAGGCGTATTTAATTTCAAATAGAGCTATTAAATGATTAAAAAAGAAATTAATTAGGCATTTCTTTAGTTTACATTATTTTAATTGATGAAATTTAATTTAATCAGAAAATTAATGACGCATTTTTGATAAGGAGGGAATTGATAAGGGGAAAGTTGTATGGGTTGCTTGCGTATCTGGGGAAAAATATAAACGGTTATTCATTTTCAAACAAGTTTTTAAAAATTTTAAACTATGCCTGGGAAGTTCCAGCAATGCATAAAGCCATTCACCACTAGTTAACTTCCCGTAGGGTAAGTTATAGTAATGGGCCGAAAATCGAAATTCAAAATTTTTACATTTCTCGACGTTTTGAAGGTTTCTGAACATTTTGGCATACCTCAGAAAAAATGGATGTGTGTGTATAGGTGTGTTTGTGTGTGTATGTATGTATGGATACAAATTTCGTCACGTTTTCGGGCGCACGGATCAACCGATTTGAATGGTTTAAAAAACATTCGACGATTCCTATTAATAGGGAGATGTGCTGATTAGTTTTTGGCAAAGGCAGGTCCAGTCGTTACGGAGATATAGAGCAAACAGTGCAGAAAATAAAAATCGAGTTTTTGAGAGAACGGATCATCCGATTTGTATGATCCAAAAACAGTCAGTTCGTAATGACAGGGAAAAGTGGTTATTAGTTTTTGGCAAAGGTAGGCCCAGCGGTTTCGGAGATACAGAGCTAAATGTTAAAAAATGGCAGTTTTGAGAGAACTAAGCGTCCGATTTGAATGATATAAAAAACTTTCTGCATGTTTCAACCAAATAATTGCTTTTGGAAAAAAAAATTGTTTCTAATTTTTTTTTTCAAAAAATATTTTTGTAATTTTGGATTCAAAATTCAAAAAATTACCCAGACTAAGCACAGTCTAAGCGACACTCTGGTACAAATGTTTATCCAAGTGCGTTTAGACTGTTTATGTACTGGAACACTTTTCCAATTTTGTGAAAACTATTGAAAAATGTAAAAATGCCGCCAAGCTAAGCACAGTGAAATAAGTGAAAATGTCGCACAGAATTATTTGCAAATGCGTTTAGACTGTGACTATACCGCACTTTTTCAATTTTGTGTAAATTAGGCAACTATTTTTTTTTTGAAATTGAATTCGAAATGAAATGACGATTGTTAATGTTCTGGAGATAAATTCTGGAGATTTATGATTTACATTTGATTTGCTCAGATATAACTAGATAATGCAAAAATAATGAAAGTTACAGTATTTGTAATAATATATTTGAAAACGTTTAACATTTCTCGAATATTTCATCACGGTACGAAAAGCTCCAGCAATTTGCCTTAAGGCACGATGCCATACACCACTAGTTTATTTTGCAATACGAATTTATTATATTAACTAAATTATTTTCAACTTTTCTGTTAGAATGTTTGTATATACATTCAGGAGTGTTTTACATCGCAAATAAAATGTCTTTTATTGATGGAAGAGAGTAGATTTATTATGAAAGCACGTGGGGCCGTGTGGGGGCCCCCTTGACTGCAACTGGTACCAACTAGTTTCTCGGAAACCTTGAAAAATGAATCAATAATTTTATTTTATATACTTATTATACAATGTCGGTGCCACTGACGAAATAAAAGCATTCGAGATGAGAAATAATAAATGACACACTTTATTTTAATAAAAAAAACATCCAAAATTGGTAATAAAAATGAAATAAATAAGAAAGGGCCTTGTCTACCGCATAAAAAATTTTGAAAATTACAGGTCCTTAGACATTTTTACTATTATTGTAAAACGTCCTTAGTAAAATTTAGTAATATTGTAAAAAACACCTTTATTCAGATTTACAATAAATTATTTGATTTTAAGAATTATTATAATGATTTAAAATATCCAAACAGTTATTATACCGATTTTTCTTACTAATAGTATTTCTATGAATATAATTGTTAACTAATAATTATTAGCTACAAATTATAATAAAAAAGAAGCTAGTGGTGTATAAAATGCTTTAATTAAATATCATATAAAAATGTTACGATTAACGCAAATATAAAATAAACTAGTGGGGTGGGTGGCATCGTGCCTTAAGGCAAATTGCTGGAACTTCCCGTACCGTAACGAAATGTTCGAGGAATATTGAATGTTTTCAAATAGATCATTATAAATATTGTAACATTGTCTAATATTTATAAGAATTATATAAACTGAATTGCAGAGTTGAAATTATTTGTTTAAAGTATATTAGAACTATAGTCAGAATTAAAAATAAAATCTGAATTATTTTCGATATACAAAAAATTAAAAAAAAAAAAAAAAAAAAAAAAAAAATGGTACAATTTTTTTTTTCCAAAATCAATTATTTTGTTAAGACAAGCAGAAAGTTCTTTGAATCAATTGAATCGGACGCTTAGTTCTCTCAAAAACTGCTATTTTTTGTACATTTAGCTCTGTATCTCCGAAATGGCTGGGCCTGCCTTCGCTAAAAACCAATAACCACTTCTCCCAATCATTACTAATTGAATGTTTTTTAGATCATTCAAATCGGATGCTCCGTTCTCTCAAAAACTCGATTTCTATTTTCTGCACTCTTTGCTCCTTATCTCCGTAACTGCTGGACCTGTCTTTGCCAAAAACTAATCAGCTCTTCTCCTTATTAATAGGAATCGAATGTTTTTTAAACCATTGAAATCGGTTGATCCGTACGCCCGAAAACGTGGGCGAAAATTTGTATCCATACATACATACACACACACACACACACACACATCCATTTTTTCTGAAGTATGCCAAAACGTTCAAAAACCTTCAAAACGTCGAGAAATGCAAAAATTTTCAATTCCGATTTTCGGCCCATTACAATAACTTACCCTACGGGAAGTTAATAAAATTACTTTCTACATATAAAAGTATATAGTGTAAAAATAAATAATTTTTAAAATTTAGTAAAAAAATTGTATACATTTTTTTTAATTTTTATAAATAAATATTAAAAAATCGTGCCCTATATTATTACCAAAATATCGTTTCTATATGTAACACCAAAACGACTTCAAAAGCAATGACATCCTTAAAACAAGGTGTAAGTGGCATTCCCTTGGAGCAAGTTGCATAAACCTCCCGATGTATATAAATAATCGACCAAATTAATAAGATTGATTTTTTTTTTATTTTACATAGCAGAGTTCATAGTTTGCTATGTAAAATAAAACAAAAATAATTAATAAGATTTTTAGAAAGTTGTGGCTATGAAATTTTCTATTTACACGGTGTATGTCCCAAGAGGGCGCCCCATTAATATTTTTATATAATTAAATCACTGTATTAATTCGTAAGTTACTTTAGAGTCTAAACTTTAGACCAACCACTTTATTATTATGCAAAGTTTCATTAAAATCGTCAAAAAATTCAAGTCAACAATATATTACGAAGAAACATCCCGGTCGATCTTTATAGGAAACTAATCTCCAAGATTTTTAACTGATATTTTTCGAACTTTTTGGAAGTTTTTAAAATCAGTTCAAAATTGTACCTGCTAATTATATTGAAAAACGACAAAATCCATTAAAAGATATATCTACACATTAAAGTTTACACAGATTTCACTTTTATCAAAAAATTTTGGATTCTCTATAAATGTCACTGAATATGATAAAAAACACTTTCGAAACGTTTAATTTTTAATTTATATTATGCAGATTTTTATATATCCCCAAGACGGGGGGAGGGGTCGAAAAATATTTGAAAATCGATCACGTGATCAATGGACGCCCCTAATTAGGATTAATTTTAGATTTTTTTATTAGAATAAAAATGGTCTCTTGAAATCATTGTAATTTTATATTAATCTATTGCAATTATTCTCTCAAAATTGGTATATTTTAGATGTTTAAACACTAAATGAAATTATTAAAAATAAACAACTTTACAAATAATATTTTTGCATAAAATTAATGCAAATCCTGTTTGGATGTTAGTCATCTCTTAATTTATATTCAACGACCAAAACACGGTTTGGCATTTGCGAATATTATAAAATTTATAAATAAATAAATATATAATAAAAAAAATATACATTGAAATTTTCTTCATTTGATCCATTATTCCAAACTTCATTATTTTTTAACAAAAATTCATTTTCTAGGATAAAGCTTTTCTAAAGCTTATACATATAGTTCACCTATATATTTAAATAATCACCCCTAATTAGAATAAAAATGTTTTTTTTCTGATATTATATATAATATAATAATTCAATACAATAAAAATATAATAATTCTTCCAAGATGCCCCTTCCACTTTACACCCAAGAATCCAATTACTAATTCTTTTTATAAAATGCATAACTACCCTAAATACCTATTATCCACTTTTTCTACCTGTCTCAATTCACCGTTATTCGATAAAATTTCAATCTTAAGCCTCATATTTGTCTTCAATGGCCCCCATTGTGCGGAAAAGAGCACCTCGAACCGAGAGCCTCTGTGCCAGCCGATTGCGATTGTCAGTAATAAGAGTCAGTACCGACTCGGCATTCCGCGCGATAACATTCCGTTTAAAAATCGCATTAAGAAAATTAAAACATTAGTACAAAATAATATAAATATACCTAAATCGATCACAGAATAGTGTATTGTAAATGTGAGAAATTTATAATTGTTTCATTTGGCTGATTTTTGTGTCTATTTGCACCCCCCGAAATGGACGAGGAATCCGGTTCCGAGTTTCTGGACTTAATTCTTCCGATGCTGAAGGAGTTGAATGTTATTGATACTCCTTCGGATGAGAAGATCGTGCAGTTTTTGCAACCCGATGAATTAGAGGTGATTAGATAAATAATTTTATTTGATAAATAAAAATTCACCCTTTTTTTAATAAAAAATAACATTTTTTATTAATAACTTTTTACACAACATGATTATTTAAATCATTTTGTTTACTATCTTTCAGATAAAACTACCTCAAGATTCTAAAAAAAAAACATTTCTTTGAATGAAGGCTTTGAAAAAATATTTTCTTTCCAATTAGAGATGCTTATTTAAAGAACATTATTTGCTGTCGTTAAGATCCAAAATACCGCAATTTTGAGAGAACATTTTCTTTCGAAATTAGAAATGATTATTTCTATAAATAATTTTATTTGCTGTCGTTAAAATCCAAACTATACAAAATACACTAAAATTAATTTTGGGAGAGCATTTTTTTTCAATTAATGAATTTAAACATATTTACTTACATTTTTTTTTCAAATTGGCGAAAAGCAGCAAATAAAATTGTTTAAAGATAACGTCTAATTATAAAGAATATGCTTTTCCAAAATTGGTGTAACTTCTTTAAATAATCAGAGTCTAAATAGAAAGAAATTGTTTTTCAAAAACTGATGTATTATTACCTTGTCAACAGCAAATAAAATTATTAAAAAAATCACTTCTAATTAGAATGAAAAAGTTTTTTTTTTCCAAAATCTAATTAGAAAGAAAATGTTCTATTAAGACAAAATACACCAATTTTCTTTTAAATTAGAAGTGTTTAGTTTAAAAAAATGTATTTGCTGTCGTTAATGTAAAAAAAACACATTTTGGAAAACCAATTTCTTTCTATTAAGAGGTGATTATTCTATTTACTGTCGTTCAGACAAAACTGTATAAATATTTAAAACTTTTTTTTTTAAAATAGATGTGACACCATATTTGAAAAAAAAAAACAATTTCTTTCTAATTAGAGTCTATTAAAATTTTATTTACTGTTAGGACTACTATTAGGATTTACTATTAGAGTACAAAACAAACCAATTTTGAAAAAGCAGTTTCTTTCTAATTAGAGCTGATTATTCAAATAATTTTATTTAGAGTCATTAAGGTAAAAATACGCCAATTTTGGTAGGTAACAGTTTAAATAATTTCATTTACTGCCATTAAAATCCAAAATACACTTATTTTGATTTTTAAATAATGATATTTACTGTCGTTTAGGTAAAAATACACCAATTTTGAAAAAAAGTAAAATCCCAGTAAAATGTATGAAATTTAAAATAGTGCATAATAATAGTTTCAAAGTGTTTTTTAATATAGTCAATTACAATTAAATAAGAATAGTATTAAAATTTTTGAGAGCATTTTTTTGTTATATTCAGGGACACAGAAATCTTAATTTGGGAATTAGTAAATGAGTTAATATATAATTTTTTAAGTGAAATTTGATTATTTTGCTTATAACATTCTATTTTTTTATATGACAAATTATTAATTTATTAAAAAGAAATCATCCCTTATTTCAATATTAAAAATCCGAAATACATTTATCAACAGAATGAAAAAATAATCTTTGATCATGTTCTCAAAGAAATGTTTAACAAAAAACAAAGGCATTTAAAGTCTTTAAATAAGGATAATTATAAAATTATTATATGTATACATATATATATATATAAAATATATATATATATATATATATATATGTATATATATGTTTATATATATTTACACATTTATTTATATTTATTAAAATATTCGCAAATGCCAAACCGTGTTTTGGTCGTTGCATATAAATTACGAGATGACTAACTCCCAAAAAAATTTGCATTAATTTCATGCAAGAATATTTTTTTTTCACTATTTGTTTATTTTTAATAATTTATTCCAAATTCCTACATCGAATCACGATTGGGAGAAAAATATCCATGAGATTTATAGAAGTGCACCTACTAATAAAATTTAAATAAAAATATATTATTTAAGTAATATAAAATAATAATAAATATTTTTATTTGTTCAAATAATCTAATATCAAAAACTAAATTTTAATATTTGTATGTCAAGAAGCATTAATATTAAAATTCTTACTTCATTAAAGTCAATTTTGCAATAAAAATATATGCATTTAATCAATAGTTTATAAAAAACGATTTAATTTCAATTCAATAAATTATTTATAAACCAAGTGGAAAGTCCACATGTTGTTAAAAGTGCTGATAAACGATTAACAAAGTCTGCAATTGATTGTTTTTTATTTATTGATTATTTATTTATTAACTCGTTATTAAGAAATATTCCATAATTGCAAGATTACAAGGAAAAATCTATAATTTTCCATGTAAGAAATGTATCATGATTTTTGCGTAGGGGGGCACAGTACAAGGCTCTTTATTAGAACTAGAAATATTTCTAATATAGGAAATTCACTATGAAAAATATCATTGTTGACAAACAGATACAAATTTATTTACATTTTGATATTTGGTACGGGGCTCTATAAATAAAAATATTCAGAAAAATATAATAAATCTTTCAAATTAAGAGAACTTATTTCTCCCAAACAGAGTTTGTATTAATTTTATGCAAACATTTTATTTGTTTATTTTTAGTAATTATATGGAATGGCAATACGTTTTGTTCAATAGTTCAATATATTATTTCTGTAATTTTCGTGCTTAGTTATTTAGGAAAGAAATTTCTTTTATATAATTACTATGAAAGTTAGTTTATAAACTATATAATTTACAATTAATATGAAAAGTTTATGAACTTGTTATTAATATTATTATTTATTTTGTTATTAAACAGTAATTTTCATATATCTTAATGGATACCAACCTAATGACTAATAATAACATTTTATATTTTTTAATGATTTTTTTTAAATGTATTTAATACTTATTACAAATAGTCTACATAATTTATGATAATAACATATTATTATTACTTCATTTTTATTTTACTAATATTTATTTTGTCAAAAATGTTGCCATCTCTATATTTTTCTAATTCGAGATCTGATGTAGGAATTTGGAATAAATTATTTAAAATAAACATATACTAAAAAAAATAACATTTTTGCATAAAACTAATGCAAATTTTGTTTGGATGTTAATCATCTTAACGAGTCATCTTAAAATATTATAGGCCTACGAAAAGTAGTGTGATTATAAAAATTCGTTAAAGTTTGGAATAATAGGCTATGATCTTAGGACAAACAGTGTGTATGAATAAAATTATAAAATTGAATTTTGGATGTATTTTTTGAAAATCATACATAAAATCTGTCAATGTTATCATGGCAATAATAAAATATATCCTTGAGGAAACTAAACTTTAAATAAAAGCAAAATCACAGAAATATTTGACCAAAGAACATGTAATTATACGGTAAACTTTTAATGTGTACTTTCATCAAAATTTCGGTAAAAAAACATTTAAATTTAACAGTTACCCAAAACTTGAAAACATTTTGTTTAAAAAAACATTGTATTTTTTGAACCAGTTTTCCAACGGTACATCTTAAAATTTCATAATTCACACCTGTTAATTGACAAATTGCATTACATTAAAAATCCAGTCCGTCCATTTACGAACAACTTATTTCAACCTATTACATTATTGTTATAAATAATAGAGTCTTATAAACAAATCTGTGCCATAAGGAACGAGTCAATCTAATCTAATTTTATTTTATTTTTTTGTTTATAGAAAGTTTTAGACGAGCGTCGAGCACCGAGCGGAACGCAAAAAGACAATAATACTTTTGTTATTTAATTTATTTTACTTAACATTAACCTGCCATTGTTTCTTGCTCTTTAAATAAATAACAACAATACGGTAATGACGAGATTAGAACATTATTATTACTACAGGAAGAGCAGTAAAGGAAAATATTTGAAAATCATAATATTTTATTAAAAGCGAAAAATTTATTAAAAACACGTGCAATGGCTTTTAAATTTTTGAAATCGGTCCAGCTGTTTTGGAGAAAAGGTCGATTTACGGCAAAAAATCTGTTCACACACATACACACACATACTTTTTCCAAATGTTGGTCTCATTCGATTCAGAATGGCTTGAAACGTCGAGAAAACATAAAATTAGCGAATCGGATTTTTTATGAAAACATAAACTTCTCCTTTGGGAAGTTAAAAACAGAATATTTTATTGAAAGCAAAAATTTTATTAAAAACACGTGAAAATATCAAAATTGTGGTTTTCTCGTTATTTCTGAAAATTTTCAACAAAATGGCGGATAAATTTCGCCCCTTTTTGACAGTTCATATTTTGTGTTGTTATTGTATAAATATAATAATATAAATATATATAAATGTTTTTTTATAACGATTTGTTGCATTTACGAGTATTACAAACAATTAATTAGCACTAGGTAACTGAATAATTAATTAAAATTTAAAAACAATAATTATGTTACTAACAAAATGTCGGCCATTTTTTTGACAGTTCTTATTTCATGTTGATATTGTAATTTTATAAAATTGATTTATTTTTTATTGCAATATAAAATATATAAAACTCTTTATTGCATCGAAAGTGTAAGTAAATATTAATGAAATAATGAAAAACGTATAATAAAATAAAGGAAAATTAATTAACATCTTGAAATAATTCGTTACATTGAAACTACCTGCTAACTTCAAGTAAATGTTATACATGTAAAAATTTTGAATGGCCTGTAAATTTTGAAATACTGTTTATCTCATTTCCAAATAGTAAAATCGTCGATGAAGAATTAAATGTTGAATTGTATTAGTTTAATTCGAAATAAATAGAATTTGATCATGTTTTTGTACTTGGCAATTCTGCTGTATAAATAAAAAATATTCAGAAATATAATTTTATTTAAGTGTGTAAATAGTGTAATATTGTAACTGTAATACTGGAGTGTATACCTAAACCGAAAAATTACAGTACAAACATGTTACATTTACAAATAATTACGAATTTAAATGATCATGATGACGAGCCATCAACCGGTATTTTGTTTTAAGACAAGGTAATAAATCTTTTATCAATATCTCAATAAAAGTGTCATTTCTCTTGCAATAAGTATTGTTTAAATATTGATGTGTTTATTTGCATATACAATGTATCAGTTAGTTCGATAAATCAATATTGTTTTTCTAATTGGACTTAAGACATTGTTTATTTTTAATTGTCTGTCTCTCGTATCACACGGAAAGTTTTCAATAAATGTTATCAAACACACATTAAATAGATACAAATATAAATATATATGAAAATACAAACTTGTACGTATGTCTATGTATGTAAATATTTGATTAAATTTCAAACCAGATTATTAATTGCAGGTTATAAAAATAAAATTGCATATAAAATGATTGGAGAGCATTTTCTGCATTCCATTTAGTGAAATCTTCCACTTGGCCCAAATTTATTATTTCATTACAAACTTATGACCATAAAAATATAAATTTTATCGCTTTTGATATATTAAAGTTTTGTAAAGTAGCTTTTGGTCTAAATCCAGATTTCAAATTCAATTATTTATGTAGAGTATTAGTTTTTATCGAGCAAACACATTTTTGTATTATATATTTATTAACTTCTCACAGGAGAAGGTTATATTTTTACCATAAAATCCGAATTGCTAATTTCTTGCTACCTCAACATTTTAAGTCATTCTGAATCGTTTAACACAGAATTTAGAAAAAAAGTATAGGTTAGCTAGAATTTGACGATTATCCTAAAATATTATATACCTATGAAAATTTTGATTATAAAAATGCATTAAAGTTAGAATAATTGGTAGTAAGACATATTCGGTTTCTTATTAATTTTATCGACATTTGAAAAAAATTTCAATTATTATTTATTATTAAAAATATTGAACTTGTATTGAAGCAAAAATGACAAGAACCTATTTTAGTTCTAACCGGTTATCTATTCTTTTTATTAGTATTTATTGCTTTTTTTATTTAAAAATTTATATTTTTTATAATGGATGTTAACCAACTTCATTTTATTATTTATTCACGGAGTACCAACCCCCAACTTTGGCAAGATGTATCATCGGCCAAGATGGCCGCCTAACTGTATGGAGGCCAAGATGGCCGCCAGGACCAAACAATATTATAAAACATTTTACATATTTTTGAACGTCATGCATAAACATAATTGAAATATTTACCAAGGATAAGTGTCATAATTTCTCTATAATCCGAATTAACCAAAAAAATTAATATTTTTTTTTATATTTGCCGAATTTATCAAAAATCATTCGCATAACTAATGGTCGCCCCAATTCCAGTACACGTGCCATTCAGGCTTATAGTATTATTAGATAAAAACAATAGCTTATAAACATATTTTCGTGTCCGAATTATTTTTGCTGACCGCAAATAACTAACTCCCTTCGATCTCCTTATCAATCGTTTTATCTTATCAATTAATCTGGAACGGTTTTATTCCAGATCGAATTTCCGAAACACCTTTTATCGCAATCTTTGGACTGATAAAGTCGAATTATATAGAGCAGAATATTAATTGCTTGTAAATCATTTTATCAGACCGAATTTATTATTATAATTCGGTGATTTGCGATTTTTTCGGCATAAACAGTAATTAGTTTATTATCGATTGTAATTCGAGGTTTATCGATTCAGGAATTAATCGATAATGAAGTTCACACATGGCAATTTCCTGACACGTTTTATATTGTCGTAATTAGTGCAAATTGTCGTAATAATAAATATTAAATCAAATAAATAAACAGTCGAATAAACGAGCCGATAGTAATGTATTATATTTAAAACTATATTATTATACTACTCTGTTAAATTGCAACAGAATATATTTTTAACTTCCCGGAGGGTAAGTTATTGTAATGGGCCGAAAATCGAAATTAAAATTTTTTTTCATTTCTCGACGATTTGAAGGTTTCTGAACATTTTGGCATACCTCAGAAAAAATGGATGTGTGTGTGTATGTATGTATGGATACAATTTTTCGTCCACGTTTTTTGGCGTACGAATTAACCGATTTGAATGGTTCAAAAAACATTCGATTCCTATTGATAAGGAGATGTGCTGATTAGTTTTTGGCAAAGGCAGGTCCAGCAGTTATGGAGATAAAGAGCAAAAAGTGCAGAAACTAAAAATCGAGTTTTTCAGAGAACGGAGCATCCGATTTGAATGATCTAAAAAACATTCAATTAGTAATGATTGAGAGAAGTGGTTATTAGTTTTTGGCAAAGGCAGGCCTAGCCATTTTGGAGATACAGAGCTAAATGTGCAAAAAATGGCAGTTTTTTTAAAGAACTAAGCGTCCGATTTGAATGATTCAAAAAACTTTCTGTTTGTTTTAACAAAATAATTGATTTTGGAAAAAAAAATTTGTTCCAAGATTTTTATTTCAATTTTTTTTTTTTTTAAATTTTTTTGTATATCGAAAATAATTCAGATTTTAATCGTAATTCTGACTAAAGTTCTAATGTACTTTAAACAAATATGTTTAACTTTGCAATTCAGTTTATATAATTCTTATAAATATTAGACAATGAGAGAATATTTATAATAATCTATTTGAAAACATTCAATATTCCTCAAACATTTCGTTACGGTACGGGAAGTTCCAGCAATTTGCCTTAAGGCCCGATGTCATTCACTCCACTAGTTATATAATAAATCACGAAATATACTATTTTCTAAACAATGAGGATATGTCTTGTCTATTAACGTCAACTTTTGATGATTGTATCTATTTTTTATTTAATAGTTATCTTTTCCTCTAGGCTAAGTTAAACCTGCAACTCTCAGACGCGTCCAGGCCTCGATCACACCAGGCCCTGGTGAAATTGTGCAGAGACTTCATCAGATACAGTGTCAAGACTTCGCACAGGGGCTTTTATAATCAATTGTATGGGGGCATAGACCCTTATGGACTTGCAGGGTCTTGGATTACCGAAGCACTTAATACCAGTCAGTGAGTAATAAATAATATAATTAAAATCCAAATTAATCAAAAATCAGGTCTCCATTTAAAATTTTGTAGTCCAACTCTCCATTTCAGTTCAGAAATATCAGAGATGCATCATTTTTGAGAGTTCAAGTTACTCATTTTAATAATTGTAAACTTAACAATAATAGTAAAGTAATTTTAAGGATTTATAAGTTAACTAGCAAACCCGACGAACTCCGTTTCGCCACCAGATGGTTTCGCGAGAAAGATGAAGAAATTTTTTGTTTGTTTTATATTTGAAAAGGAAAAATTTGATCAGGAAGGAAAACCCGACTTATTTTTATATATATAGAAGAAGAAGATAATCTATTTGAAATTATTTAAAACAATTGTTGATTATTTTTATTACTCGAGTTTTTAATTACGGTGCCTGAAGTTTCAGCAATTTGCATTAGGGCACGATGCCATGCACCACTAATTTTCTTAGCTATAAACCTTGCTAGACCCGAGACCTTTCCAACGAATGCAAAATTGTCGAAATCGGCTCATGCGTTCTGGAGTTATTTCGTCAGGAAGGAAAACCCGACTTATTTTTATATATATAGAAGATTATAAGGTATGAATGCTCTCTTATTTCGAGATGAAAAAAAATCAAGAATGTACCAAAAATAAAATCAAGTTCTCAATGGTGCCTAAAAGGTATCTAAAGGTAAAAATTAACTAAAGTTACCCATATTCGCACACGTTATAAAGTTTTTTTTAAATCTTATTTTACATTGTGCAAGTATCAAGAAAAGAGAGCAAAACCAATTAATTTATAAAAAATTTCGATTATAAAAGTGTCACAAAATCGACTTCTATATATGTAACAGAATCGTCGATTGCAAACGGTTTTGCATCATCGGTTGATTTCCAAGAAAGACCAGATGTCCATTTATTGCACAATTAACAATAAATAAAGACACTCATCATATGCAAAGAGACAAGACAAGACGTGATTTGACTTGAAAATTCATTACAAATTACGAAGGAATTTAATTATTAGGGTAGAACGGGGCATAAAGATCCAATTTAACTTTGAGCAATTATATTGTAAAAATCAAACCAATTACATCACAATGAATTACACATCTCAAACAAACAACTATCTGACTATGTTCAGTAAAACTCCCAACTAATTCATCATTGTAGAACAAAAATATGACCTGATATTTTTGACCCCATAAGTAGGGTAAATTGGGACGGTCAGGGGCAAATAAGTCCAAGGTGTCATTTAAATTTTAAAGGAATTTTTCCAAAATAATAGCTGCACTATTCAAACAATGCAAAATATAAATTTCATGTATGCATTTTTACACTGTAAATAATCTTGATACGGTATTTCGTCAGGAATATTCACCAGCAAGTCGGAATAACTATTTATTTAATTTTTCTCTTGTAAAGTTGCTTTTCCTTACTTGTCGTTCTTAGCGACGTCGTAGGAATCAAAGTGCTGGCTGGTTATACATCTTTTGCCCTCTACTTGCAAATATTGTTGTTAAAAATTTTCAACTTCACTTGTTTTTGCGATATCGACGATGGATCATTAAGACTCGCTCTACCCTATATACGAGTATATATATATATATATATATATATATATATATATATATATATAGATATATATATATATTTAAAGTTGATAATTTATTCATTATTGTGATTGATGTAGACGCGTAATTCATTAAAAACGAATAAACTTTCTAACAATTTATCATAAATTAAATAAACACATCGTATCGTAACATTTAACATTAAGTCATACAATTTCATAATTCGACATAAATTTACAACTGTTATGAATTTGTTGTAACAATTATTTACCTACTAAATGGACCACACAAAAAGGTTAAATGACAATTTGAAGTAATCAGTAAAATCATTAGGATAAGCTATTACTCTTATTAATTTGATTAGATTTCACAATATTACAAAAAACTTGATTTTTATTATACTAATATACTAATATACTTTATACATTTTGGATTTGTATTTCTTGTCTAGGGCTTCTAACAAGAATCCAATAAGTAACAAAGAAACAAAAGTTTTTAAAGAATTATCAACTTCTTCTTTTACCATACAAATAAAACTAACAATGACTCATATCCAACATTTTAAAGAAGTAGTCACCGTTGTCACTTGATTAATTTAAATTTTCAAAGTAAAGTGTGTGTGGGGGCGCCTGTCTTTGTATTGAGTTAATACGACGTAATACTTGGTGTATGTGTTTGTATGTTCTTTTGTATACAAAACGTTAAAATTCCTGAGCAATGAGGTGACCGAGAAATAAACCAAATGAGATTCAAATGTAAATACAGAGGCATTAACATTACACCAATGTAGAGAAGGAAAACATTTGAAAATTATGGTAATTTAAAGTGAATTTTTTGGCAAAGTTTATTAATTTGTCAAAAATATCATCTACATAAAAAATAATAAATAATTTATAATATTATTTATAAAACACTGATAAATTATTTGATTGTTTGATATATCTGTATATTCATACGGAACCCTCATATTGTCTTCAGTCTGACTACTTGGTTCTATATTTGTAATGTGGGTTCCGTTATTCTTTCATTTAAAAGAGAATAGAGGAAGCTAAAAGCAAACTATATATGTTATGTATTTAACAACATGAGTCGAAAGCTAATGTGAAAGAAAAGCAAAAATCAATTAAAGAATCAAATGTCATGTTTGCTCTTGCTAAAAGGAATGGTAAATATAAGGAGAAATTGAGACATACATGTATACATATATATATATATATATATATATATATATATATATACATTGATGCCTCAAAGACCCTATCAAAAACGCGCCTTAAGAGGAACTTTCAATATCTCCTTTTTTCAAAATAAATTGGTAACTATATATCGGCCAATAGGGCCAAAAGTTTGCAAAAATTAAATAAACATATACAATTATTTATTTATACGTTTCGACACCAGGTATGTGTCACCAACCATCTGAAAATTAACAGTACATTTTTGAATACAATAACGACAAAGCGATTTATAAATTGACTTAAATCAAGTAGTATTTTCAAAATAAAAAACACAAAATCTTTTTGAGAACCACTGCTCCAATTATCAAAAACCAAAAAATAAAAAATAAACTAGTAGGGCGCATGGCATCGTCCCGCACCAAAAATTATTTTTTTTTAAAAAGATTAACATTTTTGAAAAAAAATACTCTGAAAACATTAGATTTAGATTAGAAATATCGAAGTGCATAAACGCCGCGTGCCGTCTATCGGATAAACACTGGTACGGAATCCATAGGAATGTAAACAAAATTTATACTTATTGTTTAAATCTCTATAAAATATTTGATAATTTGATGTGCATATGTCTAGTGATCATTTTTGACCGCCAGGTGGCATTTTGGTTACCTGCCTTCATGAAAATTTGATCAGTTCTTCATCTTGTTAATACAAGTAAAATGTTTTTTGAATTATTCAAATCGGACGCTCCGTTCTCTTAAAAATGAGTTACCGTTTTTGGCACTTTTTGCCCCGTATCTTCGAAACGGCTAGACCTGCCTTCGCCAAAAACTAATCAGCACGTCTCCTTATCAATACGAATCGAATGTTTTTTGAATTATTCAAATGCGTGTTCCCGAAATCGTCGACGAAAATTTGTATCCGAGCACACACAGACACATACATCCATTTTTTCTAAGGTATGCCAAAATATTCAGAAACCTCTGAAACGTAAAAATACATAACAATTTTCATTTTCGATTTTTTTGCGATTACTATAACTTACCCTACGGGAAGTTTATAATAAAATTCGTCACATAGAGATAGGACAACCATTTGGGTTGCCATCTATAAAACCGACATGAGTCAAATCATCATAACAGCTTATAGGGCCCTTCAAGTTCTGATCGCTGTTCAAACAAAAAGAAGTTGTATTTTTGTTTTTATTTTATTCTAAGTTTACTAATTTTGAGCAATTGAATATTACTGAATATAATCAGCAAAAAATTGCATAATAACATTATATACATTATAATATATATGTTTAATAGAACAACTTTGTTAGTTCTATTTAATCACAAAAAGTTGTTAAATTAAGGGACCAAATTTCTAATAAAATAGAAATGTTATGGAAATGCTATAATTGATATTGATATGTTCGTATAAGTTATAGTCACAAACTGACGAAAATGCAAGAAACCTAATAAATAAATAAATAAGAGTCTATTATATGTCTTTCCTTATCTATGATATGTCCATTATTAGGTATACCTTCGAAGTGGCCCCATGTTTCGTGTTAGCCGAGCGAGCAGTGATAAACAGGGCGAAAAAACTGTTCGGGGGCTCCCAATGGGCCGAAGGAGACGGCCTGTTCTGCCCAGGAGGCTCATACTCCAACATGTTGGCCTTGGCTTTGGCCAGAGACAACGCTCCTATTAACCAGAGGGCCAAGATAAATTTCAGAGGACTCAATGGGGTTGGAGAAATGGCCGTATATACTTCCGAACAGGTAATAATAAATGAATTAGTATAATAATAATCAAAAATTAATTATATTCAATTAATTTTGTGTCCTTTCTCTAGTCTCATTATAGTTTATCAAAATCCTGTGCCCTCCTGGGAATCGGCAAAGACAACCTGGTCAAAGTAAAATGCGACGAAAACGGCAGCATGGACATTTCAGCCCTTGAAAATCTTCTAAAGAATGGAACCACATCCAATTTCAACAAAGGCAAACAGAATGGTGCAAATGAATATGGTCTATCGAATGGTGTGCAGAACCAGGAGGATGGTAATCAGAGGGTCCCCATAATGGTGAATGCAACTGCAGGGACAACTGTTCGAGGGGCTTTTGATGATTTGGAGAAAATTGCTGATGTTTGCGAGAAATATAATATTTGGATGCATGTCGATGTAAGATAAAGGATATAAGCCACAATACATGCCAGCAAATAATTGAAAAACAAATGCAGTCATCTGTTGTCTTAAATAATAAGCATTAATGCAAAAACTTTCTAAGCCATTGGCTATTCCTAAAAATTTATTTTTTGAACTAATATCCTCAATTTTCACAACTCGACCACAAACCCTTATATATATATACGTGGTCTGTTCAAAAAGTACCCGGAATTTTCGTTTTTTCAAAAAAATATTTATTTATTCGTCTACATTAATGTGGCCCCCTTCAAAGTAGTCCCCCCCAGATATAATACACTTATGCCAGCGTTTTTCCAATTTTCGAAGCACCCTTGATATTCACTTTTTGATATGTCCTTGAGCACTCTCAGCGATTTTCTTCAATCGAGGAAAACCGCCGTCCTTTCATGGGTCGCTTCAACTTTGGGAATAGGAAAAAGTCACACGGAGCCATATCTGGTGAATTTTTGCACTTTGCAACACTTTATTTCATTTTTTACGCAAAATTTAATACAAATTCTTTGACTTTTCAATTCTTCCATTGTAAAAATCGCCGAGATCAGAAAAACACGTCGAACCTTAGCGACTACCACAGACAAAGTAAACAGTGAATATAGCTGAAAATTTCATCATACTTTAGGGGATGTATACCAAACACAATACAATAAAAAAATTTTGACAATCAGACACTCAGACCCGCGAAATTTAATTATTAGTAATTCCGGGTACTTTTTGAACAGACCACGTATATATATATATTATATATATATATATATATATATATATATATTATAATATATATATATATATATATATATATATATATTATTTTTAATTCTATTATTATTTTAGGCCTGCTGGGGTGGCAGCCTAATGTTATCGAACCAACATAAACATCTATTGAAAGGAATCGAAAGGTACTTTATACTTATAAATAAACGTTACCACTTATTAATAAATCATTAATCATTATAATTATATTTACCTTAGAGCCGATTCAATATCCTGGAACCCGCACAAGATGCTTGGTGCCCCCTTGCAATGCTCCATGCTCCTGGTTAAGAAAAAGGTTAGTGTTAATAATAATATAGAAATGGTGATGAATATTTTTAATGCTTATATATATTTTTAGGGCTTGTTGCATAAATGTAACAGTTTGGGTGCTGATTACCTGTTTCAACCCGATAAATATTATGATGTGAGCTACGATACTGGTGATATGACCATACAATGTGGAAGGAAGGTAATAACAACTAAAAATATCAGTAAAAGACTTATTCATTTTATAAGTCAGCACTTTGTCTCAAACCTAATTATCGAATGAGTGACTTTGATAACTATTTTTATTGTAAATGTCTTATTAGTGTTTTTTTTATCTCATTAGACTGATGCTTTTAAATTGCTCCTGATGTGGTTGGCAAGAGGTGAGGAATCCTTGAGTGAACGTGTGGACAATTGTATGGAATGTTGTCAATATTTACGAGAAAGAGTTAGGACAAGGCCTGGATACATTCCTGTGTCCGAAGGGGAACAAAATAAATGTACAAACGTCTGTTTCTGGTAAGGGAGATAAAGATATATTTGTGTATATATGTATATATATGTATATATATATATATATATATATATATAATTATTTCTTACCTATTTTTTCCCCTCTAGGTATGTCCCTGAATCAATGAGAGACCAAGAAAGAACTGAAGAATTCTGGGACAAAATTCACAGAGTCACGTCAATTATCAAAAAGAAATTAGTTATGAATGGAACTTTGATGATAGGATACGCCCCCTTGCCCGCAAAAATACAAAAGAGCACCTCCAAACCCGAAAAACACTCACAACATAACCTCAAACACAAAAGTAGTTGTCCGATGTATATTAACACACAGAATTATATAAAAAGTACAGATATTAATGGCACGGGTGTAAATAAATGTTTTAACAATAATTTTGCTAAAAATCGACATGAAATTATTGTGCAAAATGTACGAATAGACACTACAAAGAACGTTGATGTTTTTGACACTAAAATACCGGAAATTAGGATAACTGATTCAAATTTAACGAATGGTAAAATAATAAACGATAATTTAGATTATTTTAAGGATTTAAACATGAAAACTAATGGAAAGTTTGATGAAAACGAAGACGAACTTAAACAAACTGTCAGCCATGACGGTTTAACACAAAGTGATTTGACAGTTGAAGAAAATGGCGATCAACAAATACATATTATTAATTTGTTAAATATACAAAATAATGGACAAACGCATTTGCAAAATGGTTTTAGTGATAAGGAAACTGCATTACAAGAATCTGAAAACATTTTAAATCTTGATGTTCAAAATGGATTTTCAGATGTTGGTAACAGTGACAACAAATTGAACAGGGTGCTCCAAGATAAAGCCCAGGACACTAAAAGCTCAACTTTTAACAGTTTAAATCAACTAAATATCATGAATTCTTTACCGAAGGATAATTTAGTTTCAGATTTGACTGAAAATGGTGTAATTTGCACCTGTCAGGAGTCCCTGGTGACGAAAAAGGTGAACGCCTTCCGCATAGTCAACACGTGCCATCCGCCCCCGACTTATAACGACATGTTATTTATTTTAAGAGAAATCGAAAGAGTTGGCCATGATATCGTTATTTAAATTTAATATTAAGAAACTGAACCAAAATTTATATTAACAGCTTTAATTTAACAATAAAATAATAGACAAATTTAATAATATTTAGACCAAATACACGTTATCCTTCGTATTGCTGAAAGTTTATGGAAAAATCAATGTGTATGAAGCCCCATATTTATAAATACATGTTTTTAATTTTATATAGAAACTTAAATATATATATACAAAATTGTTATAATTATTTTTAATAAATAATTTATCTTTAAAACAAACATTTACTTTGTTATTGTCTGTCTGAATACATATGTATTCAGTAATAATTGTTTATATTTTTAATAAAAATAAAATAAAAAATATTTCGTACAAAAGAATAGTGTAACTAAAACTTACAGTTAATTTTAAAGACTTGTTCTGCTTCTGGTTCCTCGAGTAACAAAATTGCTTATTTGTAGATTTTAAAACTTTTTCCTATTGTGTCAAGGGGCTTATTTGGCTTCCAAGTTTTACCAAAATTTTACTAATGCACTTATTAATTATAAACCATGATTTCTTACTGTAGTTATATCACCTAAACCGATTTCTTCTGATAATTCCACTATTACTAGGGCTAAAATAAAAGAACCCTAAGTGTTGGCTTACTGTAAATAAAAACCATATTTAATAAATTCATATTTTTAATTTTTTATAAAAACTTACAAATATATATACAAGAACGCTACAATATATTTATACTAAATAAACTATCTTTAAAACATGAACAATTCTTTCATTATTGTCTTTATATATAGAAGGTCCCATTTATTTGATAAAGTCTTAAAATATATAACCAACAATATTTTAATTTTGTCAGAGATCAACTATAAACATTAACACACCTCTTATTTTTCATAATTATTTAAAATATTATCAAAGCAACTGTTTAATTAGATTTGTTTCAATCTATAAACAGTTTGCATATATATTTATATATAAAATCACGATTTATAATCTTTAGATGAAGACATATATATTTAAAATGACTATCGTTTGAATCAAGTCTTAACTATAAAGCATTTGTCAATTAAGTTATTTTAGGTATTTCTTTCTTCATTAGATAATTAATAAGTAGCTTAGTATTATTTCAATATGGCAATTTCATTTTGAATAATTCGAAAATTAAGCAGTTCATTCTTATAACAAGTTTTAAATTTATAAATACAACATTATGCTCAATATGAGCTACTTATAAACATATGTATATACATATCGAAACAATACTCTGGTACAGCTACAACATTTTAAGCAATCAGTTAATTGCAAATTAATGTAGTAATTAATAATAGTAGTTCATGGATTTCAATCAATACTTAACTGAGAACCTCTCTTGTCAACACTTAATGATTTCATTAATAAAACTTATCCTGATCCCTGTTATTCATAATATTATCCGAATTACCACTGCTGCTACCTCTTTTCAACGTCGAATTTAATTCTGAGCAAATTGCCTTTGGATAGAGCTTGGGAGTTGGACATTGGTTGCTCGAAATATTATTTGACTTGTGCAGAGTGTTTCCACGACCAGAGAAACTTGACTGTCTTTTAACAGACACCTGAAATAAATTGTAAATTATATTCCATTCAATTACTAATTCCAATTTATTATATTATTTATATATTATTACTTCTCTAAGTGGCACGCTAACATAAGAATTTTGCTTAGTGGTTGGTTGTGTAACATAATGAGGTGAAGAAGGTACTCGAACTCTTCTCTTGGTGTAAACATCAAGGCCTCCTCGTCTTAGTTTGTAAAGGATTATGCCTCCTGTACAAGTGGCTCCTAAGAGGAACGCTCCTGCACTCGAAAGGGCCACTAAAATAATTATAATAATACAGTGATAAAATGATCCGCTAAAACTCGAAAAGGGCTGAACCGATTTGGCCAGTTTTAGTCTTGAAAAATCGTGCTAATCAGTAGGTTGTCGGAAAGGTGAGATAATATTTCAAAATCGCGTAGAATCTTACCGTTTTTAATTTGAAATTTAGAAGCGTAATTTAAATAAAACAATGGTCGGTGGCTAATACGTCAAATGTTCAATTACGTTTAATAGGATGTTTTACGTGAATATTATTTAATTATGAATAAATTGTAGTAAGTAGTTGTGTTCGTAATTATATTTATATACAAAAACCTTAGTAAACGTTTTGACGTAAACAAACTGACGGCTTGAAATATATTTTAAAAATATAAAACATTGTAATACAGTTATGAAATTATAGTATGTTATTTCTTAATATGTGTACTGAATTATAAAAATATAAAAATATAAAATCAAATATGTTTCTAACAGACAAAACTAAAAAATTGCAATGCACATTTGCATACTCTATTTTTATTAGTTGCGAAGCGACTGTTGGATATGATATGAGAAGCACTTTTGAAAAATGTTTTAAAATATACAATATTATACTAGAGCTATACAATTTTAGTATGATATTAACTAATCTATGTTCTCAATTATAAAAATATAAAATCACATATCTTTCTAACAAAAAAAGCTATAAATGTGCAATTTTGTAAACAAATGCACTCTTGCATATCTATTTTCCAATAGTTGCAAGTCCACAGTTGGATGAGTATTTCGAAAAATATTTAAAAATATAAAACGTTATACTACAGTTACAAAATTTTGTCGAATAGCATTTTCCCAGTAATAATTTCCCAGAATTTATCAAAGAATATATTGTAATATACGAAGGCGCGGGAAAAAAAGGTCTACCACCAATTTGTCAAAAACCAGTAAAGTTAAGCATTGTTTAACAACAATATTTGAAAGTAGAGGGAAAAAGATGAATAACCAGCTATAACCTTGATTCTCATGACTTTGCTATCAGGAGATAAAGGGTAATCTTTGAAAATCCATAATACTTTTTATTAAATTTACTTTGATTCATCGAATGTTACTTGAAACTTTTCAAAAAGAAGGTCAAAGAAGAAGTACTTAATTCATTTTCTATCTCTCCTCGCAGAAAATTGAAAATTTTGTATAAGCTCAGTAGTATTATTTACAATTATACACAAAATACAAAATCCAAAAAGAATCTGAAAAAACTTGAAACTCAATCAGTAAGTCGAAAGAGTAAAAAAGATTTGGATTGGATTATACCATGTTTTCTATAGAAAGTGTATAAAACTGCCAGTTTGATTGTATTGACAAAATATAGACAAACTAATGGGGTTTATTGTTTTTATAATACCTCATTGTATATAGCATTCAAACAACACATCCTTAAACACTAAAAGTATTAATATTTTTGATTCTCTAGAAATAGTTTAGAATATACCTTACTTAGCAAAACAACGTTTGCCGGGTCAGCTAGTATATATATATATATATATATATATATATATATATATATAGAAATTACAAAACCAGGGCTTTGGAAAAATTAATCTCTTATTTTACCTATCATTGCACTTGCTCTCAAAATCGTAGACTTCTCTTCGCACTCCTGATATCTACTCGCTCCTTCCTCCACCAGATTAACCCTCTTATCCCTTTCCATCTTTTTATCCAAAATCAGTCCATCCTCCCTCCGATCCTTGTCTCCTTTGTTATCAAAATCTGAATCGCCCTCAATATCCGAGACAAGATCGAAATCGTGATCATCATTATCGAAATCGAAACGATCTCTAGAAATATCTCGGACTCGTCTTTCTTCCCTCATTGAGAACTTGATCCTGGACGCAGCAGCCACTGGTGCTGAACACATGTACCGGAATCTGTGCAACTCGGAAATTGAACCAGATTCTAAAGCAAAAAAAAATAATATGTTAGAACTCTAATGAATGAGGAGAGAATTAATTATCTTGCTTACCATTTTTGACAGGAAACCATTGCGTCCAGGCGCTGTACTTCCTGTGCATCTGGCAAGGATGCTCATTGCAAACCTCGTACTCAACATCATTCCCAATACACAAGTTTTTGCTGCTGCTATGTTTACGTTTGGCATGTCGATGTTGTCTCGACAACGTTTCATCATCATCACCAATGTCATCATTAAAAGATCTTTTGGATCTCACACGTCTCGATGTATCATCCTCAAAATCGTCCAGGAATTCATAATCCGGATATTGCTCGGATTGGAAAAACTGATGTACTTGTTTACTGGTAAAGTCATCTTGTCTTGCATTCAAATATTTTATATCATGATTTTTATTATTGACTAATTGTAAATCTGCTTTGTTAGTATTCCCGACACCTGTTCTAGAATTAGTGTTAGTTGTAGAATATATTAAACTCTTGTCGGTTGTATACTGTTGTCCTGGACTCTTATAGTCCTTGCCAGACGCAAGATCAAGTTGCTCGACATATCTTCCTTGATTATTGGAATTTCCTGGTTTACTATTGGTGTTGAAATTATTGTTGGTTTCAACTCCAGTGGTAAAGTCACTGTGTGTCTTCGAGTACTTGTTCGAGTTAGTGTTACTGTTCTTGTTGATGTTGACGTGCTGTCTATTTCTGGAATCTGAGTACTCGATGTGTTTTGCTCCAAACTGGATGTTAAGGTTACTGTGTTCAAGCGAGTTAATGTTCTTGTAAGCCTTAAGGTTCTTGTTGATGTTACTGTTGTCGTACTGTTTTCTTCCAGACTCGGACTCGATGTGCTTTGCTCTAAAATTGCTGTCGTACTTGGTTCCAGACTTGAAGTCAATGTTATTGTATTTTGACGAGTCAGCGTCCTGGTCAACCTGACTGTTCTTGTTGATGTCAATGTAGTCGTACTGTTTTCTTCCAAGCTTGGACTGGATGTGTTTCGCTCCAGAATTAGTGCTGTACTTGGTTCCAGACTTGATGTTAATGTTACTGTATTCTGGCGAGTCAGTGTCTTTGTCAACCTCAACGTCCTGGTCGACGTCAACGTTGTTGTGGTTGTGCTGTCTGCTTCCATGCTTGGAGCTAATAAGATCGATGTGTTTTGCTCCAAAATTGGTGTGTTTAGTGGTTCCAGACTTGATGTTAATGTTTCCACGTTCTGACGAGTCAGTGTCTTCGTCAACCTCAACGTCCTGGTCGACGTCAAGGTTGTTGTGGTTGTGCTGTCTTCTATGCTTGTAGCCATGGACGTGTTTTGTTCCAAAATTGGTACTGTATTTGGAACCAAGCTCTGAGTCAACGTTCTCGTCAATCTCACTGTTGATGTCAAAGTTGTTGTACTGTCTTCCTCCGGAATTGAACTCTCCTGGTTCATCGAGGCTGTTGGTTTCAACTCCAGTGGTAAAGTCTCTGTGTGGCTTCTTGTTCTTGTGCTTGTCCTGGTCAACGTTAAATTCCTCGTCTTCTTTATTGTTATTGTGGTGTCTTCCTCGGTGCTCGATGGTATCAAATTGCTCTGGCTTGAAGACTCTGTCTCCGGAAGGAATGTTAGCTCGTACATGTCCAACTCCAGAGGTACCTCCATTGTTGATGACAGACTTGGGGTCGAACTTGGTGTTGGTAATATACTTTCTGGTGTCAGACTTGGTAACAAAGTTTCTGGTGTCAGACTTGGTAACAAAGTTTCTGGTGCCAGACTTGGTAACAAAGTTTCTGGTGCCAGACTTGGTAACAAAGTTTCTGGTGCCAGGCTTGTCATAATGCTCATTGTTGGAATAATCGAGGATGTGAGAATCATATCGTCTTGACCTGTCTTGTTGAACATCAACACCAGACTCGTGGAACCTGCAACAATTACATAATTACATGAACAAATAATACATAATTACATAAACAATTACATGAACCACCAAACAAACTAGTGGGGCGTATGGCATTGTGCCTTAAGGCAAATTGCTGGAACTTCCCGTATCGTATTCAAACATTCAAGAAATGAAAATAATCAATAATTGGTTAAAAGATTTTCAAATAGATTATTTATTATAAATACATTTTGTAAATTTATAAGTGCAAGAGTTTACAAGAGTCCATTTTTTTAAATTAGATTTTTTTTGATAATTTCGATTTTTTTTTTCAAAATTTTGACATTTTTCGGAGTTTAAAATTTTTTGGAATTTAGAAAAAACGTTTTTTCTTAAATATTTTGAGAATTTGGAAATTTTTGAAAATTAAAAAAAAATTTTTCATTTTCGAAATATTCTCAAATTTTGGTAAATCATTTTTTTAAAATTTTTCAAAATTTAGTTTTTTTTTGAAAATGAAAAATTTCGAAAATTTGAATTTTTTGAATTTTAGAATTTCTTTTGAAAATTTTGATTTTTAACTTCCCGTAGGGTAAGTTATAGTAATCGCAAAAAAATCGAAAATAAAATTTTTTATATATCTTTACGTTTCAGAGGTTTCTGAATATTTTGGCATACCTTAGAAAAAATGGATGTATGTGTGTGTGTGTGTGTATGTGTGTGTGTGCGTGTGTGTGTGTTCGGATATAAATTTTCGTCGACGATTTCGGGAACACGGATGAAGTGATTTGAATAATTTAACTAGTGGAGGCGCATGGCATCGTGCCTTAAGGCAAATTGCTGGAACTTCCCGTACCAAGAATTATTTATATTTAAAAGATTAATATTTTTGAAAAAAAAAATTACTCTGAAAAAATTAGTTTTTTGAGAAACTATAAATTTCTGATAATTTACATATTTTTTTAAAAAATGTAAGACTCTTTGAGTTGTCTTTATTTTGAAATATTTTGGAAATTCTGAACTTTTTTTCAAAGCAATCGTACTGCTTTAACTGCATAGAGACGGAATATCGAAGCGCGTATGCGCCGCGTCGCCGTCTAACGGATAAACATTGGTACGGAACCCAAAGGAATGTAAACAAAATTTATACTTATTGTTAAAATCTCTATAAAATATCTGATAATTTGATGTGCATATGCCTAATGATCATTTTTGACCGCTAACTGGCATTTTTTTTTACTTTTTTCACTAGATCTCCGAAACCGCTAGACCTGCCTTCATGAAAATTTGATCAGTTCTTCATCTTGTCAATACAAGCTAAATGTTTTTTGAATTATTCAAATCGCACGCTATGTTCTCTTAAAAACTGAGTTACCGTTTTTGGCACTTTTTGCCCCGTATCTTCGGAGCGGCTAGACCTGCCTTCGCCAAAAACTAATCAGAATGTCTCCTGCACAATACGAATCGAATGTTTTTTGAATTGTTCAAATCGCTTTATCCGTGTTCCCGAGATCGTCGACGAAAATTTGTATCCGCACACACACACACACACACGCACACACACACACACATCCATTTTTTCTAATTATAAGGTATGCCAAAATGTTCAGAAACCTTTGAAACGTAGAGATATAAAAAAATTATTTTTAAAAATAATTTATAATTAATATATTACTATGGGAAGTTAATTAATCCTGTATCAATTATCATCTTACCTTCCCCCATGACCGTGGTCAACACCTTGGTAGGCGTCAACGTCACCGGCACCAATCTCTCTTCTCCTCCTCCTCCTGTCTTGATCGTCGTCCACGTCCTCAGCAGATGTACGTGTGTGAGGTCGTGTATGTGCGTGTGCGTGTGTCTGTGCACGTGCGTGTGCATGTGTACGTGAGTGTGCGTGTGGGTGTGGGTGTACGTCTCTGGAAGACGCTGATTGGTGTTGTCTTCGTCGTAGTAATCCGGAAGATGATCCGGATGATGATCCTGATGATGATGATGATGATGGAAATGTGGTGGTGCAAACTCGTCGTCGTACTCGAAATCCTCCGGAGCATTGTGCCGAGCATGACGACCAGGGCGACCACGCGGACCAAGAACTGGGGAAAGGAAATAAGAATTATAAAGTGAGGTGAATTGTTTTAGAAGTTGGCGTTGACAAAAATCTGAAGTCTTTTTTGGAATTAATTTGTTTAAAATTCCTAAGTTAGCTTTTTTATAAGATCAAGTATAAAAAAATCTGTTGTTTTATCAAATTTTTGCATCAACTTTTTCTATTAAATTTTTCACTTAGATTTTTGTCTTGGTTTTAGTCTTATTTAGTCATATTAATTTCATTAAAAAAAAATTATACATTAATATCAATAGTTAGTAACTGATACGATTTGTAGTACAACTCGATACTGATCTGAATAGGAACCTGCTATAATTTCGTAGTAGTAAAGAGCTTTCTCGACGACCTCACCAAAAACTAGTGGTGTATGGCATCGTGCCTCAAGGCAAAATGCTGGAACTTTTCGTATCGTAATGAAATATTCGAAAAATTTTAAACGTTTTCAAATATATTATTACAAATGCTGTAACTTTCATTATTTTTGCTATCTTGTTTTATTTGAGCAATCAAAATCAATTGTAAATCATAAATCAATTTATCTCTAGAACATTAACAATCGTCATTTTATTTCGAATTCAATTTCAAACAAAAAAATAGTTGCCTAATTTACACAAAATTGAAAAAGTGCTCTACAGTCACAGTCTAAACGCATTTGCAAATAATTCTCTGCGACATTTTCACTTATACTGTGCTTAGATTGGCGGCATTTTCACATTTTTCAATAATTTTTTTCACGAAATTGGAAAACTTTTAAAACTTGCTTAACGCACTTGGGTAAACATTTGTACCAGAGTGGCGCTTAGACTGTGCTTAGCCTGGGTAATTTTTTCAATTTGTAATAATTTTTTATCCTCAAAAGCAATTGTTTTGTCAATACAAGCAGAAAGTTTATTAAATCATTCAAATCGGACGCTCAGTTCACTCAAAAACTGCCATTTTTTGCACATTTAGCTCTGTATCTTCGAAATGGCGGGACCTGTCTTTGCCAAAAACTAATTACCTCTTCTACCAATCATTACAAATTGAATGTTTTTTAAATCATTCAAATCCGATACTCCGTTTTCTCAAAAACTCGATTTCTATTTTCTACGCTCTTTGCTCCGTATCTCCGTAACGGCTGGACGTGCCTTTGCCAAAAACTAATCAGCACATCTCCCTATCAATAGGGATCGAATGTTTTTTAAACCATTCAAATCGGTTGATCCGTGCGCCTGAAAACGTGGACGATAAAATGCGGACATACAAAACACACACACACATTCATTTTTTCTGAGGTATGCCAAAATGTTCAGAAACCTACAAAACGTCGAGAAATGCAAAAATATTCATTTTCGATTTTCGGCCCATTACTATAACTACCCTACGGGAAGTTAATAAGTATTGCTAATGCTTCTTAAAAGTAAAATCTACTTTTACTACTACTACTACTATCTAGCATTAAATTTTATCCATAATACAACTTAAAGTATGTACATCTCAAAATTTAAAAGAATTTACTTCCCGAATAATCGATTTGATCAAAAGTTAATAGATTAATAAGTTAATAAGATTAATAACCGTTAATACAACATAGAATCATCATCAATTTCATCTTATCACCCAAAAAATTAATTACCATCTTCTACATTATATATATACATATGTACAAACACAATCTTCCCTACCCTCGGGACACTTAAATAATCACCTCTCACCCCCAATTTCGGAATCACCCTCCAAATCCCGATCTAACTCATCGTCATCGTGCTCCAAGGGGTCCATCGTCGGGGCTTCCGTGGGACATGGCGGGTTGTCCGTGCAATAGATCTCATGAGACTCCGGACCGACGCAGACGCGCCCCCCGTGGGCCGGACTGGGGGCTGTGCAGGAACGGCGACGGGTCTTCACGGCCACTCCACAACTCTGAGGTAAAAGACACATGGGTAACAAATTAATTAGATCAGGAAATTTTATTTATCAAAAATTATAGATTCTACAAATGTGAGTCTATGTGTCTATATATCTTCTTATATATAAAAATGAATCGCAAAATGTATTGGTAAGCGCATAATTCAACAACGCCTGGACCAATTTGGCCAATTCTTTTTTCAAAATGTTCGTTCAAGGATGGTTCTTATGGCGAGAAAAAATCGAATAATCGTCGGGAAAACCCTAAAAATATCCCATTTCTTTTTCTCATACAAACGTTTTCGAACTAAAACGTAGAGTCAATTTGAACTTTATTGCAATTATATAAAGTTCATATTAAATTACGTGCATTCGCTGTATACTCCTTCTAAACGATTATTCGGATTTTGATAAATCTTTCTGAAGTTTGTTAAGGAGATTTCTAGGATGTATGTGATTATAAAGTACTGAGATGTATGTGCAATATTATAGAAATAAATGAAAAAAATGCAAAACACGACATGTCATTGTTTGCATTGAAAATAAATGAAAACTATCATCTGCCAAAAATTTCAATTTACTTATGAACCTAGACAATATTAAAATATGTATAAGAAATTTTTGATTATGAATAAAAAAAAAGAAATGTCTACATTATTATTGCCAAAAAGCAGCTGAGATGTGCCAGAAATTAAAATTATATAAGATACAGTATATGTATGGCAGATTAAATGATAAACATATGAACAGGATATGATAAATTAATTCACTTAAATATAAAATTAAGTATTAATCAGGGCCGGTCCTACCTTTAATGCGATGCATGCGAAAAATACGAGCGCACGCCTTAAGGGGTGCCAACACAAGATTCGGATATTAAATTTTCAATATAGTTTTTTTTTTCAATATATAATTTCTTTGCATCTTTTACAATCTTTCCACAATATCATTAAAATTCATAAAAATTTTACTTTAGAACAACAAATGGGAAAGTAGAGATGAATACATACAATTCGGCCCTCACGATATCGATTAAGAGAAGTTTAAGATGCAATTTTGGATAAGTTAAATAATATAAAATTAAATTAATTCAATCCAACATGAAGTACCAGTGTTATGTTATGGTTATGGTTTTGCTATACCGTTTAAAAGACTTCAATTTCCAATTCAGTGTGAAAATTGAGACTCATCATTTTATTTAAAGCAGTTCTACATTTAACATCGCCCATATTATAAATGTATATGCATTTGGGTGTGAAGAGTAATTTAAAAAACAATTATTATTTTTAGGTAAACGGTAAATATAAGTATGCGTTACTAAAAAATTGTTGACGTGGGTACAGGACATCGTCTGTCGGGTCATCTAGTATATATATATATATATATATATATATATATATATATATATATATATATATATATTTTATATTTTATACCTGTGAGCAAGCTGACCAAGGCGACCAGGGCGTCCATCCACCATGCCTGGTGCAATTAGTAATCCTAGTACTAGGTCCAGAGCACTCACTCGGCACCGAACTAATTTTCGACCAAGAATTGGCGCCTCTTGCAGAAGTACTCGAACCAAAACATGTACGAGTCTGACATAAACACCAATCTTGCTGGGAATCATCATAGTCGAGAGAATCTATGTTGTTTTCAGAAGCTAAAAAAAGACATTTTGAGTATCAAATGCAAATACATAGGATGAATTTAGTGGTACCTTGTGCACATTTGGTCCATGGCGACCACTCTGACCATTGTGGTTGGCGTCTTTTGCTGTCTTGAGGGCACCCGACAGGATTCTGTTGCCAGGAAGGATTTAGAGGCTCTGCGTCTGGAGCTCTTGTGCAAGCACCTTCTCGAATACCAGATTCACTGATAAAGAAAAATACTTGTATCATGCAATCTTTCGCTTTGGTTTTATGATAATAATTTTTGTTAGCAATAAATACCTATAAGCTGTTTTATCCCAACCACAATACGGGTTCATCGAATCTAAGCAAGATCGTTCTGTTTTCAATCTCGAGCAATGTTCTACAGGTACTCTCCACACTGAAGTCTTTGTCAAAATATACAAAGAGTTCTAAACAAACAAAAAAATCATTATTAAATCCTTTTTTTTTTTTTTTGATTTATTACTCATAGCAAGCTATACAAAGTACATTCAGCTACATTTGTTACAAAATTAAATCCTTATTAACATAATAAATCCGTTATATCTTACCATAAATTTATTAAATTCCATCTCCCTAATTCCACCAACAAAGCCTCCTTTCTCTTCCAGCCTAAACACATCGATAACACAAGCCCTGCCTGTCCGAGACAATATGGAAATCTTCTTGATTTCATTTCTATCATTCGATACAAAAATTATTCGGACTCCTGTATGAAGTTTTGTGTCCACCTTATCGATTGCCATATGGGTGTATCTTTCCAGTTCGACTTGGTGGAGCGGATCCCTTTGAATTGGTTGTACTGGATGGTCCATTAGTTGGTAACGGGGCACTTTATTGGAACTAAAAGGTAACAAATTATGATATATTATTACTGCCATTGTGGTGAATTATTGTTTACTTACCCGCATTCATGATGGTCGTCCATTTTAGCTTCCCATTGACTCGTAGGTGTTGGCTGGTGTTTGTAGGAACCTGAGAAGGATTTTTGGACAGCCGACATGTTGAAAGAACATATTGCAGATCCTGCAATGCTATTCCTGAATAAAACAAATAAAAACTAGTACATTTTTTGATCTATCAATAATAATATTCAAGGTCGAGATAATTTGTTACTAACACTGGTGTAGAAAAAATAGCATAAACGACTCTTTCTTCCTCATCATAAGCCATGTCTTGGATTTCATTAAAATAAAATGGGTGCTCTCCTGATCTTGAACAATTCAATCTTGCTTTTAAGAATGATGACCAATTCTTCTGCATCATCGAATGACCTCCTGAATCATTTTTGCACACACGAGCTATACGAGAATAAATCACCTGGAAACAAAAACAATTGTTAAAAATATTAATATTAATATAAATATAAATGTAAATGTAAATGTAAATCTAAATGTAAATGTAAATGTAATAATAAATCACCTGGAAACAATAACAATTGTTAAAAAATATTAATATAAATATAAATGTAAATGTAAATCTAAATGTAAATGTAAATGTAAACATAAATGTGAATATATTTACATTTATATTTAAAAATAAAAAATATTGTAACTGATGTAAAAACAACCCAGTAAACCACAAAACGTAATTAAAACGTTAATATAACGTAACAGATGTTACGTCAAACATAGCGGTTACGTAACCTAGGAGGCACACAGACGTGTTAATTTCCGCCTCAAAAATGTAACGGCCTGTTACGTTACGCGAAAACGTAACGGTTTCGTTTTTGTTACGTTTCCAAATTGCGCGAGAACGTAACAGTTTCGTTTTTGTAACGTTTCTAAATTACTAAATTAACGTATAGGTATCATTGCTACAGAATATAAATTTGAATTTCAAAAATTTGATTAAACTATTACAAAATTAACAATGCTAACAAATTTCTACTTAACAGGATGGAATTAACTGTTTTATTTTCATAAAACTTTATACTTAAGTTTATTTACCTTTCCACAATTGATGTACTCGACTGCAACTTCTCTGAAAAAAATAGACATAAGATTCATCTTCAAAGGATCCAACAAATTGTGGGTCGTTCAGCCAATGTGGGTCGTACTGGTGAGTCCTTAATGATGGAAGAGAACCTGAACAAAAAAATTAATCAATAACTACTTTATTGGTGTTAATTTTGATCCCATAATTTTATTCCCCTTGCCTGATTTTCCATTCGACAGATCAGTCCTATAAATGGCAGCGTCCTGACCAGAGAAGTCCATTGTAGCCCCAGCATACAAAATTTGTTTTCCGAGAAAACCAAAATTTTTCTTCGGGCTATCTCTGTCAAGTTGTCCAAAACGATCCCTTGCCAAAAATCCATCTCGGTTGTGAACAAACTGTTTGTTGTTGGATTCGGAGATCAAAATGGCAGTCGAGTTGGCCAAAGGGGAATAAGGGCAAACTCCGACGGCCCTGGCACATTGTCCTGCTTGTTTGAGATCGGTTATCTAAGAAAAAACAGATTTAAGGTTTTGATGAAAAACGTTTGACTTGATTTTATCATTCGCGCTGGACAAACTTGTTTGTCACATTTTTTTATGTAATGTCAAATGTAATGTTATATATATTTGTAATTCAAATGTCCCGCCATTACTATTAGTGATGTTGGCAATAGTGTTCCCCTACTATAACTATGTATGCGCCATCTTATATTTTTGTTTTATGTTAAAACTATGTAAAATACTCCTCTTGCTCCAGAAAAGGCGAAACATGTAACATCTAAAATAAACTTAGTAATTTTAAAGGAAGCATTTTTATTTTACCACTCACCTTTCTCACACAGCATTGAGGAAAAAAGGCGTTTGTGCCACAGACCAATATGGAGTCTTCGTTCTCCAATTCCAATAAAACCCTGACATGATTTTTGCAAAAAGCTTCTGATTGTCCTTTATCGAGACAACTTTTCGTCGCAATTTCAGTCGGCGGAATCCAAGTGGATTCAATCAGAGACAAATTAGATAAGGATAGTCTCAGGAGATAATCACTGAAAAATAATAACAGATTGTGAACCTATGGTATAAATGTTTATGTTATATAATACAATTCTCAGAACTCGATTTGTGTGATTTATTAATTGATTTACATCTGCGACAACAAATGTCAAGAGACAATAAATATTATAAGTTCCAAGAATGAGATGAGGTGAATCTTTTGTTAAACAAATTCTTGAATGTTGAATCCGCGCGACTGCCGATTTGCATAAATTTAAATTACCGTTTTACTTGCAGAGATTCTTTTGTTAAAAGTATTAAATCTGTTTTAAATTAGAACTGGTAAAATATACTAAAATATTATAGGCCTACGATATAAAAAAAATATAAAAAATATCAAAGTTTGCCTTCGCTTAAATGATTCTAATCAGAATCTATACCGAGTATAAGTATTAATTTTTGGCAAAGACAGGTCCCGTCATTTCGAAGATACCGAGGCAGTTTTTGAATGTGTTTTGTATCTCTGAAACGGCTAGACTTGCCTCTACCAAAAACTAATCAGCACATCTCCCTATCAATAAGAATCGAATGTTTTTTGAATCAATCAAATCGGATGATCTGTGCTCTCAAAAACTTAAATTCTTTTTTCTACATTCTTTGCTCTTTATCTCCTAAACGGTTGAATCTAAACAAAATGTGAACATAATTGTATTCACACAAAACACACACATACATTCATTTTTTCTGAGATATGCTAAAATGTTCAGAAACCTCTGAAACGTGAAGAAATGCAAAAATTTTCAATTTCGATTTTTGGCCGATTACTATAACTACTCTACGGAAAATTAAAAATGTAAATTATAATAAAATAATCCTAATATAATAATGACTGAAATTTTAATAATATGCAGTAAATACTATAAATTTAAGATAAAATTCTTAATGTAATAATAACTTTGGAATTTAAATAATTGTATGCTGTAAAACATTTTAAACTTAGCACAAAGTTTGTTATAATATAACAATTTTTCATAAATCCATTCTCCCGATTACTTGCTTCACATCATACAGTTGGCACTCGTGTTACTTCAAACGAAAATTTAAAAAATGAAAATTCAAACAAAAAATCCTTAGTATAACAACAACTTTAAAATTCCCATAATAAATGCAATGCAATCTTATAAACAAAAAACACTCTAATAAACATTAATATATCTATTATTACAAAATTCCATTATTATGGTTCTTTCTTCTACTTTGTACGGTTCGTAGACGTGCTAGTTCAAACGAAAAGTTGCAAAATGTGATTTGAAATAAGAAAAATTCTTCAATATGATAATTATTATTTATACAGGTAGTTAAATAATTTACACAGAATTCAATGAGAATAAATACAAAATCATAAGAAATACAACTTTCTAGTACTGTGGCACATTGGAATGTCGCAAGAATCTTAAACGTTGGCGCCAATTGGATCCCACACTCGGGATAAGAATATATCGACATATTATATTATATATATATATATATATATATATATATATATATATACACTTTAATGTGTTGTGCGAATATTAATTGATTAATTAAATCAAATATAATGATAATTAATTTCAGCAATCAAATCTTAATCGTTTTGAACCCGTTAGGACGTTAGATATGCTGATTTATAAATACACTAGACTAGAGTTCTGATATGGTTACATTATTAAATTAAATCTAACGGATAAATTAATTTAAATTATTTTTTTATGATTTGTTTGAAATTTAACATAGTTCATAATGTATGTTATTTTTTTATAGGTTTTTAAATCTCTTCTAGTAGCTTATTTAATGCTCCAAAAAAATAGGAATTTTTAAAAAAATAATGTGTCACCCTACGAAATGTATAAATTACTAAAATCAAAGTTCATTTTGCATAGAAGTGTATTTTTTCTATTTTTTCTAAATTTATTGTAATACCGAACATGATAAAAAAGCTTACTTAAAAATAAAAATAGGAAAATAAAATTTAAATTCTGACTTTGTTTAGTCCAACGTTCAATTGTGAAACAAATTTTAAATACTGCACCATACCATTTTTTAAATTTTTATTCCTGTTTAGTTATGTTATTATATATTTGTATATCAATATATAAATATAAGTATGTCTAAGTTTATTATATGTTTCATAATCGTCTCTCTATAAATTCGATTCGTTTTTCTAATTTATTATAAAGGTATACGAAGGTATTAATTATGGTTTTTAATTATAACATAAGGTGTCTGAGAATTGACCCTCATAAATAACTTTTAATTGGCACTCTTTTAAAAATATCCTACATCCTACATACCCTTTATATGAATATATATATATATATATATATATATATATATATATATATACTAGCATACCCGGCCACGCTTTGCTGTGGCTATTATTAAAATCCACCAGATTAAAATTTGAATGTAATGAACAATTCATAGTTCAATACTATTAATCAATATTTTTTTAAGTTTATATTAATAAAAAATAAATAAATTTATTAAATTAAAATGTTTAAATCAAATGAACACATTACAACAAATGTAATTTAATAAATCATATGCAATTAATGATGAAATAATATGAGTTTAATTTAATATATGAGTTTAATTTATAATTTGAGTTCAAAATTACATTAAAAACTGCAAGTTAAAAAATTAAATTAGTATTATTCATAATTTTTGTTTATATATCCGCAGATTCATTTTTATTTTATCAATTGTATTTCTTTAAAATAAATGTTGAACGAGTTTGTTTCCTAAATCTCTAATAAAATATGGTTTAGTAATTCAACGGATTTTTCTTTTTAAACACCTGGGTATAAATTACTTTCACGAATTTAAATATATATATATATATATATATATATATATATATATATATATACGAGGTCTGTTCAAAAAGTACCCGGAATTTTCGTTTTTTCAAAAAAATATTTATTTATTCGTCTACATTAATGTGGTCCCCTTCAAAGTAGTCCCCCCCAGATATAATACACTTATGCCAGCGTTTTTTCCAATTTTCGAAGCACCCTTGATATTCACTTTTTGATATGTCCTTGAGCACTCTCAGCGATTTTCTTCAATCGAGGAAAACCGCCGTCCTTTCATGGGTCTCTTCAACTTTGGGAATAGGAAAAAGTCACACGGAGCCATACCTGGTGAATTTTTGCACTTTGCAACACTTTATTTCATTTTTTACGCAAAATTTAATACAAATTCTTTGACTTTTCAATTCTTCCATTGTAAAAATCGCCGAGCTCAGAAAACACGTCGAACCTTAGCGACTACCACAGACAAAGTAAACATGAATATAGCTGAAAATTCATCATACTTTAGGGGCATGTATACCAACACAATAAAAAAAAATTTGACAATCAGACACTCCAGACCCGCGAAATTTAATTATTAGTAATTCCGGGTACTTTTTGAACACACCTCGTATATAAATTAATTCACAACATATGTGTTGTTTGAAATATTCAGGGCGAGGCATTTCATTGTTCTAATGAAAACTGTTACTTGTTATGTTGACAATTACTAAAGAAAATATTATTACTAAATTCATCAACGGAAACAATATATAAACAATATGGTATATTATTTATAACAAACGAATCCAATTACTTATATAAAATATTCTAACAATCATCGATATCATTCAAATCAATATCATCAAAGTTTATTGAAACAAAAAAATATTACCTGATATGGATTAGGAAAAAATAGTATAATAATTATTATATTTAATTTTAAATTTGATATATATGATAAATTTATTAAAGATTTTAATAAATATTTTAATACTGTTAGCTGAAACTAAAATTGTCAACAAATTATAGTATAAATATTACTATTATGATTGTTCTTTATAACATTTAGTTCTATAAATTAGTTTTTATTTTATTTTATTTTTTAGGTAAGATTTAGCCCTGCATTTTTAATAATTTTAGTAAGTAAATAAAATAATTATCATATTATAAAAATTTATTATTAATTAAACAATTTATTATTATTTATAAAAAGTATTATTTTAATTAAAGGTTTTTATTTATCTACTAATATATAATATAAGTCAGCTTAAATTTTATTCTACATTCTCAGATATTTCAAATCGAAAATTCATATCACGCTACGCACTTTTAATAACCATCTGTTATTTGTTGTATTAATATTATGTAAGAAAGTTCTGTCGGAGTCTCGATGGGCGGACGGGTGCTCCATATTTGGGGAAAATATGCCGAGGATGAAATCTTTTCGTAATTTATACGAATAACATATAAGGACATCGATCACGATCAATGTCTTAAAAATCAATTTAATGTCTTGATTTAAATTTTCATAGAAATAGAGCCACAATAACAAAATTTGACACCTATTTCGACACTTTGTAATAACAGATGATTGGTAAAATAAAGGCCTTTTTTATAATAAAGTATGGTAGTATTAGGGGGATCTAAATTTATTATTTTCATAATTAGCAGCATTAAAAATGAATATCTCAGAATTATTTTTTTTAATGACTGCTAATTTTGAAAATAATAA